AAAAAAAAAAAAAAAAAAAATCTGAGCAGCCCAGCACCTCGCTTCTCAGCCACAAGACGTGAGAAGAAAAGCTGACGCGCTGTCTTTCCCCGCCTTTCTCCCTCCCCACTCCCCTCTCTCTGGTCAGGCGGTTTCCTGGGCAGCTAGTTGGTGTGCGTGCTTGAACTAACCTCTCGCCGAAAAAGAGGGGCTTTTATAGAGTTGCTGCGGAGAAAAGAGACAAAAGAAACCCTCCTATCTGTCCTGGGCTGGGTAGGATGACGCGCCATCCTCCGGGGCGGTGCGCCTCGCCGCCCGGGTCCGCGAGGATCCCTATTCATATTCATGGGGCCGCCCGGGGCACCTCTGCGCGCACCGCTGGGAGCCCCCGGCACAAAACCCTCTGATTGACACACTCACCGCTCCTGCTCGCGCCTTCCTGACTTTTTTTTTTTTTTAAAGACTCGCCTCCACCCCCAGCCCTCTGCTGATGGCCCTCACCAAGTCACACCTAGGAAACCCGAGGAAGGCGAGGACGGGCAGAGGCCTGGCGGAGTTCCTCGGGGTCTGGAGACGCGAACTGAAACATTCTTTCCCGTTCCTTTCATACCGACCCTCAATTTTGGACAAATGTGGTCAAAAAGGTCCGAATGGAACGGTTTCGGGGGCAGATGCGGATGGGGGGGCGGGGGGCGAGACGAGATTGCAGCCAACGTGCATCTCTTGGTTGTTTTCTTAGTTAGCTCTCTTTCCTAAACAGTGTTCATTCTGCCTACTGGGCCTTCTGGTGAGGTTTCCACAGGCGATTCCTATCTGGCGATGGGTTTGCCCCTGGCGTTGCTCTGGGGATGGGTCTCTTGCTTTCTGTGTCCTTTCTTTCGTTTTTAAAAAAAGTGATTCCCGAAAGAATTTCAGCTATGCCCAATTCTGTACCTTCTTAGACTTGGAACCGTGAGAAAAAGAAAATTCCTAGTGTTACAAGAAGAGCAATTTAAGAAGGGGAAGGGAGGAAAAGGAGCGGGGCGGGGGGAGTTAGGGATTGGAACGCTTCCGGGGAACTCGGGAGAGGGTGTCCCGCGGCCGCTGGACCCTGGCGACTCCGACCGAGGTGGGCTAGTCCCCGGCGCGGCCCAGCCGGGCGGCCTCTGCGCGCTGTGCGGAGCGCGAGGCGGGCCAGCGAACGCAGGAGCTCTGGGTTGGGTAATAAACTACATTGGTGTGAGTGTGTGCGTGTGTGCGTGCGTTCGTGTGTGTGTGTGTGTGTGTGTGTGTGTGTGTGTGTGCGTGTGTGTGTGCGCGCGCGGTTCGGCAGCGAATGGGTCTGGGAGAGCCCCTGTGCGCGCACGAGGGCTCTGCGGGCCAGCGCGCGGTTTTTCTGGGATATGCCACCGGCCTGGAGTTGGGAGCTGTCCGTGCGGGTGCCGGGCGCCGCCTCTACGGGAACCTGGGCACCGCCACGCCCCGGGCTCGGAGGAACCGGAGACACACTCTAGGCTGTGCTGAGTGTCTGGGTGCAAAGTGCGAAACCGAAACAATCCGGGAACCTGGGGTAGTTAGGGCCTCAGTCTGCGCGGCAGAGACACTGTGAGTCTCCGGGACTCGCGAGGAGGGGGAGCCCTCACTTTCCAGGGACGCGAATGGAACAGTCAACAGGGGAGGGAGGGATGCCCGGTCCGGAGTCCGCGCGCGCTGCGAGTCTGTGTCCTGTGGGCGGCGGTCACCCTGCGAAAGCAGCGTGGCAGTGCCATTTGGATGGGGAGACGCAATATTGGAACGGATGCTTTTTCTACACCAAACTTTGCTTCTCTGTAAAAAAAGAAAATAGCCAAAAGTCCATCGTCAAGGTCCGGACTTCAGTGCCCTTGAAGTTTGGACACGAGCCTCTTCTCGGCCAACAGTCGCCACCTCCACGGAAGAAAAGTCTCTTAAACCAGAGAAGCCGAGAAATTCGACTGATTGTGGAAAGATTGATGTCCAAACGCACCCCTAATATCCAAGCCAAAGGAATGTTTTTGGACTCACTAGACTCGCCCATGTTAGCTCAGAGGCACTCAAGCCCCCCCCCC